TATCTCAGCACCGGCGGCGTTTTTCCCCCCATCCCCTTCGTTTCAAGCACACACGAACGATGACCTCCCTCGCTGTTAAACGTCAGTGGCCTATCTACAGACGTCTGATGAGGAGCGCCTCGAACGTCGTCCCCAAACCGGAAGTTACGACTACGACGACGACTGAAGTTGTCGCCGATAAAACAGAGAAACCGAGGCCCCAGTTCGCAGCCTCCAAGACGTACGAGAGCCTCTGCAAGCCGCTGAAGAAAGCCAAATTGGCGAATCCGTTTCCGGAACCGGTTAAGCTTATGCCTTCGGATAAGATAGCGGACGATGAGAAGGCTGAGAGAATGTTTTCGGAGTCGCGACACTCTACCGAGGAGATCATCAAGAAGTCCCACTGAGCAGTCCCAACACGCTGAAATAATTGAAACAAACAACAAACAAAAGAAAAAACACCGTGAAACGAAAGTAAATTGACATGTAACATAATTGTATATAAAAAAAAGTGACACTTCAATAAAATCAACTGTGACGTGTGTTGCCTAATGCATTTTGAAACGAGAACTGATAACAAAAAACAATGAAATAATTGTTTTCTAAAAAATCTTAATATTTCATTCATCAATAATATTTAAACTTTCCAATTTTACATTAATTGTAAGAAAATATGTTTTAAAAGTACATACTTTTCATTTTATTAGTAATTAAGTTATGTTTTTTTGAGAATTCATCAAAGTCTTGAAAGAATAATAGACCCTAATTGAATAAATATTAATTGAAATGTATATGAGTGCAGCGTCTCTGATGATCACAACAATAACTTTAGAATTTGGTATAATGAATACGTGGGCAGTCCCAGAATTACCCGACTTCACGTATAAATAGCGGTTTTTTGTTTGAAAAAAAAACTACTATGATTATAAAGCTTAAGTTTGAAGCCCTACGTTGTTTAGTATTTGTTTGACAGCCCTCAATAGTGAACACTGCTACTCATTTGAAAGATCTCAGTCCAACCAATATCAAAGCCGAGCTAGATTCTTCTCTTGGGGAGTCTGCTCCTTCGTTTATAACAACAACAAATGGATAGCAGAGTTTAAACATATTAGATGTCAAATACATAAAGTGACCACGACAGAAAAGGTGAAGAAAATCCACAAAATAGTATTGGATGACCGTCGACTGAAAGTACGTGAACTATCAGACATGGTAAACATTTCAAAAAGAAACACGGAAAATTTAAAGATGAGCAAACTGTGCAAGATGGGTGCCTTGTTTGATCACAATTAAAACAATGCACCAGTATATACAACCTTTATCGTAATGGCCAAAATCAAGGAGTAAAAGTTGGAATTGACGCACCCTATTCGCCAGATTTAGACCACTCGGATTATTTTCTCTTTCCAAACATAAAAAAATAGCTAGGTGGTAAAAGATTTGCCAACAATGAAGAGGTGGAGTTTGCAGTTGCTGGCTATTTTGTAGAGCTCGACGGTTCTCACTATAAAGCTATTAAACATCGCTGATAAAAGTGTATTGAAGACTATGTTGAGATATAAAGGTATTTTTTGTCCATTTTCTTTTGTGATTTCTTTGTTAGGTTGGGTACTTTTGGGACTGCCATCGTATGTATGATATTTTGTATATGGTGAAATTCTCCTAAAATATGTTATGTTCAATAATTTAAATAGGATTCAATTAATATTAACTAAGATTCATTAGAGACCACATTATTTGCATTGTCAAAAAATCGATATGTTATTTTATCTATAATGTATTTACTAGCTTTGTTCTATTAAATAATGTGTGATGCATATAGACATGACGACAACATAATTTTATTCCATTTAAGAAATATTTAAAGTTTAATTATCTTGATGCAAGTATCAATGTGTCAATTAATTAGATCATTTTAAATAAACTGCTAAAAAAATTATCTTTAGAGAAATGATGATTTTAAAAATTAATGTTATATTGAACTAATATCTCAAGACTGTTGCAACTTATTGCACATTAAACTAAGTTGATTTGGCTTAGCTCTTTGAGAGGAGGTGGGACACATATTATACCACCTTTTCTACATACCTAATGGGGCTTTGTTTTAATTTTCTTAAAAATGTACAGGAAAAAGGAATTACCCTTAAATAACCGTGATTCTCAAACTTTTTGATTCGCGACCCCCTTTTGGACATACAAAGTTTCTGCAATCCCCCGAAGAATGAATATATATAGAAAAACAACCAGGACTGATCTGTCATTATTTTTTTTTTAGAGTCACTAGTCTATGCAATCCGATGTTGATTCAGTTCATGAAGTTGTTTAAAAATTTGTTGTGTCTAGAAACTTAAGAATTTCTGGCCCTTCAAAGAGTTAACCTTGAATCATCAGCGAACATTGAGTTGCTTTGTATTTTTTTCATTGAAACCTAGACGAAAGACACACGCGAACACTTGAGAGAGTTAAGCTTAAAACAGCACAAACTCCACTTAGGAGTTTCTCAAAGAGTCACGAGCAGTGCCTTATTCGTCATATTATTAAATCTACGAAACGAAAGTTCCTCCATGAACACCGCTTAAACACTTAAAGTATTAGAGGCTGAAGTTCTCGCCGCTCCCGTCGTGTTTTTCTTTTCTTTTCCTCTTTTTTTATTATTATTATCTTCATTTTCTCCTGCCAACGGTGACACTCAAAGTTTCCGAAGCACTCTGCACAATTAGCGAACGCTTATCCCGCGGCCCTCTCTAATAGATTAATTATATGAAAATATTTATGCCCGAAATTAAGAATTTCACGCGCGAAATTAATTTCGCCAAAAATAAACGACAAAAAGAAAAGAGGATAGATACAAGAAAAAAATGAGGAGTGCGAGAGCAGGCTTCGACGAAAGAAGAAGCCTTTGTTGGGGCCAGAATTGTCAGACGCGAAATTCATCGAATAAATTGCGTAATTAATAATTTGCCTTTGAGCTAAGATTTATGGCTTCCGTAGGTTTGCATCGTTTATTACGTTGAGGATCGAATACCGGATTTCGAACAGACGGGAGAGAAGCAAAGAAGCCGAAACCATCGATTTAATAGCTTCGTTCATTATTTCAATTTTTGTTTCATAAAATTAAATTTATGAGGAAAATGCAGAAACGGGAACTGGAGAAGACAATTACGTTTGTAATTTCACGTAGAAATGATAAGAAAAAACAAAAGAAGCAGTCAAAGAGTCAAAGAAAAAATTGCGCAAATATGTGTAAATGAAAACGACGTGCAAAATAAATATTGCTGAAGCAACTCTATGTAACGTAAATTTGATACCGTTCCGAAACTCCGGCTTCATTACGGATGCATCCGCAGGAATATTAATACTTCATCAAAGCAACTGAACACGTATTCGCTTTTCACTCAAGAGAGCAACATAGCTAACATGAAAACACGAAAAGAAAAAGAAAAAAGTAATCTTGATTGCCTATGTACGCTTATGTAACATAAATATTGGATCGACAAAATCAAAAAAAAATAAAATATGTATGTGTGTATATTAACCAATAAGTCCAAATTGGTTGAGCTGCTCCTTACTTTTTTGTAACCAATGTTCAATTAAATTTATTTTTCGTTAAATGTACAACAAATCCGATATTTTTAACGTAAATTTTGTTTGTTAACGTTTTTATTTTGTTTTTTTATAGCAGGGTTTCCCAAACATTTCCTGTAACCGAACACATAATCAATGATATTAAAAATAAACAATCATTTATTTAGTTTTTTTTTTCTTCAAGATTTTTACAAAAAATATTATTAACTTAGTTTGGGAAACCATTGTTTAAAACAATACTTCTACGCCCACCAAGAATTTTTAGCGACCCACACTTTGAGAATCACTGGTTTAAAGGATCGCAAAGACCAAATCATATAAGCGTATTACCTTCATATTTATTTTACGTTTTCGAGTAAATCGTGTTTTGGTCTGCGGCATCCTTAATCTGGGAGGATTTTGAAATGTTCCTCTGCATTTAATTAGGCAACATTCAACATTTATTCTACAGAGAGAGCGGTTATTATTTTACACATCATTTCGTCCGCAGTACAAACTACGCTACTTTTACCAACGTATAAGCGTGCATGGGGCACGTGGGAAATATACTTTCCTCTAATGCACAATGTTTAAAATTATAAACTGTAAAGCAGAAAATTAGAGGAAAATGCAAGAATTAAATTAGATTAACGCGACGTAAGCGTGAGCAATGAATTGCCATGAAAAGTTTCTACTAAAATTGCAGTCAGTTGACAACATGTCCACTTTTATTTCACATTCAGTTTTATTCAGTGAAAATTTATTTGTTTTGTAATTAAATTACCATTCTATTTGTATTTAGAAAAATCATATTGACATAATCCAACATAACTAACCGAACAAATGGTATTATCTATCCCATTTATAAAGAAATAGCTTAATTGTTTAAATATAATTTTTTCTTAAATATGGAAATATTATTTCTCAATTGTGTGTTTATAAACTGTAGCGAATTCAATGAAAATAATAGAAATTAGATAATAATGATGTAAAAGAAAATGATAAATTTAAATAGAAAAATTTAAAATACATGAAAAGTTTGGCTTAGTTACGTTAAACAAATATACAGCTTCATGTTTGCTTGCCTAGCGTTAATTTCCTTTGCTTAATTAATTATTACGTAAGGTTTGCTAAGTATATGTAATTATTTGACAAATATAATTGTTTTAATTAAAACCGTGATGTTTCTAAAATCAACAATTATTAATATTCATCTGTGCAAGTAGAAATAATGAAGTACTTTTCAAAGTTTATTTTCAAGTTGCAGTAAATGTTTTAAAAATGACATTAAAATTGTAATGAAAAGTTAATACCAACTTAAGTTTGGAAAGTAATAGCATGTTCTATTACCACTAGTAAGTTTATTCTTCACGATGGAATATTTTAAAGGATTTCAATCGCAAAGGACGATGTTAGTTATGTGGAAGGTACGGGTGTGCATTTCGAATCGGACTTACCGCTCCCAGGCACGTAGATGTTCAGGAAGAGGCAGTCTTCGCTCTGATTCAGTAGCAGGGGAATGAGTTTCTTGAGATGATGATAGCGCCCTTTGGGCATGTGTAACAGAGCCAGCGTTCTGTTGGAGATGTCGGGAACGCGCTGCGGGCACACCGCGCCAAAGGTGTCTGCTAGACGGGTGCCTGGCCAGGAGATGGGGGCGGCCGGAGGGCGGAAGCGTTGGGGGCCAACGGGGGCGGCGGCGTACGGAACGCCGCGGAACACCTCCACCGGTTCAAGGTGTCGCGAATTGAGCTCGAGGATGATGCCGCGGATTGCGCCCGTCTCTATCTCTACGATCCTCGAACTGTAGCGAGGACCTGCGGAGGCGGTCGCGGCGAGCGCTGCTGCTGCGATAACCATCACGACGGCGGCGGCCGGCCCGTTGCGGCGGACACGTCTCGGACACATCGTCCGGGCATCACTACACCACCGTCCCCCTGCTGCCACCACACTCACATCCTTCACAGGTAAAACCTGCAACCAAAAACACAAACACATAACAATTAACTACACAACTGTCAAACAAGAAAATGTTTGGAAAGATAGAACAGTTTATATCATCAAGAAACTTTTACGTCTTCAAATAGAATAATAAACAAGATTAGATTTTTTTGTGAAACACAATAATTTAAATACTATTGGTATTATGAATTTTGAATTTGTAGCGATTTCAATTTTAGTATAAGTCCTTTTTCTCATATATCGAGATATTTAAGGCTTTGCGTTTGAATCAATTTAAAAATATTGGGAATGCACACTGACGTCATAATAATTACAATTATAAAGTTGTAAAGTTTTTATATAAACAAATATTAAAAGTATAAAGATACCAAGTCACCGAATTGATACAATATAATATAAACAAATATAAAGTCAATTTACCGTCTGTGAATTGGAAAACAGTTCATGGTGTTAGTGATCATTCTAGTTGCATCTTAGTAATCACAAAATTTCCAAATTTGTGTACAGACATGTTATTTGTGTTATTTTTTTGTGCAAAATTGAATAACACTTGTATGTCTACGAATAAAGAGCCAAAGAATATAAAGAATAGAAAAATCATTAAAAATCGCGACCAAGCTATACTTTTTTTCCGGCATTATCGTAATTTACATTAGTTTATATGGGGAAAAGTCTTTCACTATATGAGGTTCCACTGCATATCTATATCAGAGGTTCCCAAACTTTTTTGTGTCATAGACCCCTTTGCCATGTTTTTCGGTTTTGGGTAGACCCCCTACTTACCTGGTATTGATTTTTTTGTAAATTTATTATTTATATTAGGACATCTTTATAATTATTAAGATCTTTGCTCTGAGACTGCGCGTATGCTTGTAACAAGATGATACTGGTATATCATTATGTGCAGGTTTTTACAAGTTCAAAATGTATTGCGACCACAAAGCGAATGCCTACATCCTACAACTTATACTATTTTATAGACATATATAATATTTTTTTTACTTCATAGGTACTTTTATAAATAATGTTTATGTCTTTATATTATAAGATAGTATAATATATGTAAATAGGTACTATTACTGTATGATGAGATCCACTATCGTAGACCACCATTTTCATTTCATGGACCCCCAAATTTTTTTTTTCGCTGGCGTAGACCCCTTGCAGGTTGTCATAGACCCCTGGGGGTCGATATAGACCACTTTAGGAATCACTGTTCTAAGTACTCATACCGTTTTTGAAAATTAGAAATAAAAAAAAAATCTTGTTCTTAAATATTTGTACAGTTTTATTCAATAAATAATATATACAAAATATTTTAAAATAAAGACATATATAACACATAAACATTAATAAAATAATTTATATTTTCTTCGATACCAGCACTACTTCCACCTCTGTGAGGTGTTTCAACATTTTATTCATTATTTCCAGCTTCGCCTGGACAGTTGTGACCTTTTTGTAATGATTTTTATTCTTTGAAGTCTCTTCGGGCGTCGTTGAGGGAGAGTCGGTAACCAAGTAGTGCTTAATTTTGTACAGTGTGTGTACTTTTTGTTTTGTAACGATCCTTTTCTTGCAGATAGTCCTAGTTATCATTCTGTGATTGTCTTCTGGCAAGTCGAAATTGATTCTTCTGCTCGTATGGTTATTTGAACTTTTCGGTGTCGTAGGAATGTCCGCGAATAGTCTTAAGTTTGATTCAGGTGATTTTGGATAACATCTGTAATCAGTCGGTGTCCTGGGGGACTTGGAGGCTATTGGCGAATGGGAAATTCCGCTGTCATCGCACTTTTCCGATGCAGAAACTTTAACACTCGAATCATCGTCATAGTGTTTGGTCATATGTTTCTTATCCATTTTGTATGACTCTTTCAACGTTTTTCATAACTTGTAAGGTCCATTTATCCATTTTGTATGACTCTTACAATTTTTCTAGATACACTTCACTCGAATCGTCGTCATAGATTTTGGTCCTATGTTTCTTATCCATTTTGTATGACTCTTTCAATTTTTCTAGATACACTTCACTGAAGGCTTGTAGAATCAACTGAAGGAACAGCACTATTTTTTCATGTATATATACGAATGTAACCCTCCCCACTTTCCTTAGGACTTAAATCATTTCTTGGAAGAATTACCCAACAAACTAAATATTTCAAAACGCGGAGTAAATCCAATATATTAAATATAGTGGAACCTCGCTTAACGAGCACCACGTATAAGGAGCATTTCGCTTAACGAGCAAAATTATTTGTAAGAAAAATGACTCGCTTAACGAACGACGTTTTTCATAACGAATGACGATGAGAAGAGTAGTCTTGGATTTCGCGCCTTTTACATCATTTTAGAACTTGTGTACATATATTATGTGTATTTTGAATATATTAACCATCTTCGATTTTCTTTGTCTAAAGCGGACTATACTTTGAAAATATAATTTGTGTTTGCTGTTAATGCAAAACACAAACGTATTGTGTTCAACCAT